TCTTGAAACTCAGGCTAGGATTTATTAGATTCTTGGGGTTTGCCCTTCTTTTTTTTTCCCGTGGTTGCATTGCTGATAGAGACTCTAGTCAGATTTCTAAGTGCTCGGGTGTTGGTGGATCTTTTTCTCTTTAGGAGTTGTTCGCTTTTGCTTTTAAAGATAGCTGGTCTTTAGTCTGAATTTGGTTAGGTGCCTTTCGTAGTCTTAGGGGCTTGGGTATCCTTTCTTGTTGAATTCCTATAGATCTTTTCCTCAACAGTACTTTTCTCGAACTCGTTGGTTTCTTCTCGGCTCTTCTTATTGGGTTATGTTGAGTTATAATTTAGATGGATTGGCCCGTTCAGTTTGCGGCACTAACTCTTATATTCCTTTTACCACTATTACAATTTCTTCCGGGTTCTGGTAAGATGATTGGATCTTTTAAAAGATGCTGTCTGGATTTGAGATCATTGCTTTTCGCTAGTTGAGAGACGGCTTAAAAGACTTTCTTTCACTGAGGTTTATTCATGTATGAATTCCTTGAGGTACTTTTCGGAAGTTGGGTTTAAGTGTCGGAAGTCACTTTTTTAAGCTAAAGATACAATAGGACAGGTAATCTCTTAGTTGGTCCTGTCTGCTGGGTAAAGAGAATTAATGATACTTTTTAGACATCTTTTTTTAATTGATAAACACGCATTCATTTTTTCACTTATTTTTTCCTTAAGGATAACATAAAAAGAACAAGATTAGTTTCCTCTAAACTTTTGTATACTCTTTTTCTCTCATTAGGCATTTCTCTTATGTAATTATAGACGTGGAAGAGATTTTGGAAAAAGGTAGTTTCTAGTGGCATCTTTTCTTCTTGATTTGTTTTTATTGGATTCTTGAATCGTTCAAAGGAATTATTCGGAAATTGTTTGGTTTTTGAGTTTACCTTCTGCCGCTCTCGCTTGGTTGTTCGAGAGATTCATTGGGTTTAATATTAAACATGACCTGATCCTCCTATTGTCAAGGGGGTTCTATAAACACTTGGATAAATTAGAGACTCTAGGGAATTCTTTGAATTCCAGATAATTCACCATCAGTAGATTTAAAATTTTTGGGATTTCTGCTTGCATGTGACGTTTTTCTTCTTATACAGTCAACTTTAGTCATCTGGAGGATTATTTTCCGGGATTTTTTTCATGGGATGTTGTTCTCCTTTTTTGGGTTGCAGGGTAGAGAAGATGGTTAAAACATCTTCGCTTGACAGGTCCCTTGGATTTGACCTATAACGATGTTATTGATTTGTTATACTTTAAGACTCCTCTTTTCAAATAAACATTGAAAGATGATCTAGATCTGATCCAGAGTAAGAACAAAATACGTAATTTTTAGAGGCTTCGGATTACTCCTTTAATAGATTTCTATCTCATATCTTCCTCTAGTACAAATATGTAAGAAGGGACAATGAGAAGTTTAACTAAGCAGGAGCGGAAATTGAATCTCCTCTCTTTAAGGTCAGGGGATGTTTGTTTTTGCTGTCCATGAGTTCCGGAATGTGTTGTCGTTTTCTTTTCATACTCAGTTCAGCATTCATGAGTTAGAGCAGATTTGGATTCAGTGAGAAAACCCATAGTATCCTAATCCAATTCCTGGGGGAGACATAATTCTACTTACAAGACCGTTAGTACTTCCTCGACGAGGCTGTTTTATATATGACTTAGGTTGGATTAGTTATCTTATGATGAACTGCCTTAAGATACCTTGAATCGTTGTAATACGATTCCAAATATATCGTAGTAGTCGTCAAACTCTTCAGATAGGTAGTAAAGAATATTTCTTAAAGAAGTTCCACAAAGGCAAAAGTGTTAACTAAAACAGAAGCAGTTACATAAATCTATTAAGAAATTTTAGAATATATTTTTAGTCAATATTAAGAAAAAAAAAATAAAGAAGGAACATCATAGAAAATGTATAAAACTTATTTCTTGGCTCACAGTGCACACTGGTCGAGATATTTATGAGACAAAACAGCTTGTATGTGTTGTTTTTAAGCAAAATGACAGGTTCACCAATTATATGAAGGTCCCATTTCGCTTACAATCTATTTCTGCATGCCTTTTTTTCTGCTATAATCTGCAAAATAGTCCATATAAATGAGTCAGCAGATATTTTTTTGTATATTTGACGCTAGAAACCTTTGAAAAATAAGTTCTTTATGAAGGCGGCATATACATTATATTACGATTTATCCTCTTGCTGAGGCTTACATTTTGTGTCTATAC